AATTGAGAAAGCTTCCTGGAGAGGTGGCGAAACGTCTTCAAATCTTGAAAACCAAGTCCAGTGGATATTTTTTTTTGAATTTTTACGGAATGAGTAAATGTGCCAACTGAGTGAAATCCATCGATCTCTGTTTGTTTAACCAGGGTGAATGATTGAATACTTTTTTCCCACGACACCTGACATTCATCATCAGAGAGGAGGGGGAGGGCCTTAAATCTTGGATCCATAGCTGCACACACATATAAAGTCTCTCTGCTGATCCCTGTATCTCTTGTTCAGGTCCTCACAAATGGCTGATTGTATTTCTTTCACTAATACAGAATCAGATCAATTTTGGTAAAAGTCATGGAGGAGCTAATCATGAAGTGGTGCCACAACTGATAAGGTTGGGAAGTTTTCCTGAGACATAAGTGTTTCTGCCTTCATGGGCTTCATGGCATCCACAATCTCCTCAACAGATGTTATGACTGATTCACTGAGGGTGCAGACTCCTTTCTCTGTCTTCCTTACTTCATCGTATAGTAGAGCAGCAGATATAGCGGGTTGCTGCTACAGGAAACGTTTCAGCATGTCATGAGTGCTGTTCCACCTTGTTAAAACATCAGTTAGGAGTTTATGATCCGGAAGCTGCAGTAGCTTTTGTTTTTGTTGCAGGTCTTGTTAAGGACAGGTTAAGGGCGTGGGCAAAACACTTGAAATGCAACATATCAGTTAGCCCAGGTGCGATAGTCATGTTAGCTGCATTGTCTGTGACAATAGCCGGGTGTTTGGGTGCTATGCCCCGCTCATCCAGCCCTGTTTTCAGTAACTCCACTATGTTTGTCCCTGTATGGCTCTCATGCATGGCTCCTGTTTGTAAAATGAACGCCTTTAGCTCCCAGTCCTCAGTAATGAAATAACATGTGATCGTCACATATGATTCTGTGGTTTGAGACGTCCACCCATCTCACGTAAGGGCCATTCTTGCAGCTGAACTTATTGAAGTTTTGACACTTTGCTTAACTTCTTCATACTTTTTGGGCACCGCTATATCAGTAATATAGCGATGGGTTGGGATGACGTAACGTGGCTTCAGTGTATTTACCATGTACTGAAAGGCTCTATTTTCAACCACGCAGTAAGGACACAAATCCAGGCTGATAAAATGCAGCAGTGTGTCATTAATCCTGATGGCACGGGGTGAGGTAGATGGAAACTTATACGTGGTGTTGTCCAGAGTCATTTGCTTCGGGTCTACAGGTTTCCGTTGAGTATTTGGTGCTGCTAGCTTGCCAGTATGGTGCCTCTGTAGGTTAGCCCGCAAGTTGGTCATATTTCCAGTATAGCGGTCTGCGCTAATACAATTTTTACATATTGCATTTGTTTTACCGAGTCCTTGGCTATTTTGATTCACTTAAAAACCAAAATGTGCCCACAAATCGAACTTTAGAGATAAAGGTGCTTCAACAATCCTTTCAGCCATTCCGCAAATTGTTCCTCGCTGTGAACAGTAATGGCACGCTGTAATAATGCCCCTTGGGGAAGGGAGGTATATCGATACTGAAAACCAGAAAATCGATATTTAATCGTTTTTAACAAGACGGATATTAATCTGTATATGGCTCTTTATGCTGTGCCCTACAATAAAGCTTGTCAAAGCTTCAACAACAGCTCAAAGCATATTAAGGTAGCTTAGCGTAGCATGCAGTCCATCCTGTTAGCTTTGTCTTTACTCATCAGTAAACACATGAAATGATCAACATCATCAAAAGACCTATTGATTGTTCTGTCGCTAATTGTGCCAGACCTGCAAACCTTTTTTTCGATGTCCATTTGGAAGAGTTGAGTTTCACCCAGCAGCAGCTTAGCAGTCAGGCTAACAGTCACCAGGGGTTTTCTTTGTCTCAGGCTCACACCACAGGTCTTTATATGGCCTTCTCATCCAGGCTGGCTCTTTAAGTTCTGAAACTCAAGAGAAATGTGTTGCAACAGTCTGTTTTGCAACAGTTTGGTTCTGAAAGGTCACCATGATGATTTATCCTTGATAATTTTGTAGATTTGTGTCTTTTTTGGCCTGGCTCTCCATTCTGGTGGAGACTGTTGGGATTTAATCCAGAGAAATGTTTAAAAGATTAAGAGGAAATGATCAAACACAGACAGGGTTTTGACGTCAGCCTCTGCAGTAGCAGAGAAAAGGTGCTGGCTCAGAAACCAGCACCTTCTCATCCAGATCCCTTCATAGCAAAGCCTTTTATTAACAGTTTACAACATCATAGGGCTGGCCTTAAACAGAAGACCCAGTAATGATTATCTGGGAGGATGCAGGTCATAAGATGACCATCTGGCTGGATGGAAGTCACACAACCGTGTGATTCTGCCTCATGACCTACTGAAAGGAGGTCATAAAAGTTTATGACCCTTCTGGTTGAATCACATGATAGAAATTTAGCAGCTTCTTTCTTTCAATGTTTCATATGTCTACACAATAATTTTATAATTATCACTCTAACAGAGACCCTTCCAAATTGGATCCCAGGCCGCTTCATGGTAGAGAAAAGAGAGAGAATCGTGGTTTTTACTGTCCTCACACAGAGGGGTTGGTTGGTCACACCTCTGTTGGTTGCCATGTGATTTGCCTGTGACTGCTTTTGAAAGCACTGGCTGAAAAGAGGAGGGTGCAGAGGTCTTACAACTGAGTTTTCACCAAACTTGTGTTCTCTTCTCTGATCATCATGTCAAGATAAAATATGAACAATTGTTTCCAATGTCCAAACGCCCTGATCATGGAACATGGCACAATATACAACAATAATCAACGAGTGAATACATTTTTCCCAGTTCCTGTGGATTGATATGCTCCCAAATTTGGGATTCTGATGTTTTCTACCTCAGTTTTACTTTATATGTTGAATTAGACCAGAGCGAAGTTCAGAGGTCAGATCACCATCTCTAACCATCCAGGTCTTTTCTTCATATCAGAGCTCATTGCCAAACCATTTTTTTTTTTACAGGAAACCAGAACATGAACCAGAACCCAGCTGTGTGTCCTTTAAGAGTGATCATTCAAAGGGTCTTGGTATATATTTTAAACCAGAACAACCTCCATCAACAGACAGGTGAGCTGTTTCTAAATGTTCCACTAATTAGTTTAAATGAACTTCCTTCTAACATATTAATGTCAAGACAAATCTTTCTCACACATGTCTGTGTTCACATGTGAAGCAGCGAGTGATGGAGGCTAAATAATGGAAATAATCTAAGGATTGTTTTATTGTGATGATATGAAATTATCTTGTTAGATGATATTGGAGCTAAAATCAGTTTCTTCAATCCAGTTGAATCTTTCTGGATACCTTGTTTCACATTAGTGAACCAAAGTTGGTGTTTCAGCAGAGCTTAAGGTGATGTAGGCAAGTCATGTTGCTGATTCAACCATTAGATGGAAACTAAATCCTCCAAACTACATGTGACGGAGAACATGATCTCTCGCTGTTATCTGCAAACATCAGTGACACCACTGAGACGGAAACATGAGTTAAAGGTTTAACAGAGTTTATTTTCACAAGCACTGAGATTATAACTGGTTGTGGTTCTGGCCTGGGAAACTGGTTCACCGGAGTCTGCGTGAGAAACAGTTCAGTTAGCGTTGCGCATAGGAGTTTGATTCTTGACAGTCTCTGATTTATACCTTGAGGGTTCTTGATGAAAGCCTTGAGAGGGAAACTGTTGGATCTGGAGAGGATTTGATCAGCAGAGTCCGTAAGCTGCTTCAGCGTCTTACTTCTTAAGGAATG